TCCCACCCCCTACTATTCTGTGATTCTGTGATTCTGTCTGCCCTAGGGTGCTGAGCAGGGCCAGAGCTGGACGGAGAGGGTGTGGCAGAGCCTGGCGTAATGCACAAAAACAGACGCTGCCCAGAGAGGTGGTGGGGTCTCCATCCTTGGAGACATTCAGAAGTCATCGGGACACGGTCCTCGGCAACTCTGGGTGGCCTTGCTTGAGCAGGGGAGCTTGGACCAGGTGACCTCCAGAGGTCCCTTCCAACCCCAGCCATTCTGCAATGCAGAGAGGTGCGCAGTTACAAAAGGGCTTGATGGGGGTGATGTGTACGAGAGGTATGTTGCAGGCACTCCGAGGGACTCGTGTCGTTATCCCCTGTAACGAGAGTACCTGGTCAACTGTCAGTTGTCAGAGGTATAATTAATCCTTCTACTTTGTTTAGAGATGAAGAAAAATTTTCAAAAAAATACACGACAGTGGTGTTGAAGATAAAGCAAAAAATACCTGGATAGGAACAGCACAAGAAAAACTGCAGAGGTCTCTAGGTCGCTTGTGTTTTAAAGATGGGTCTAAGAAAAGCTCAAGAGATGGCACGCGGCTCTCCTGGCTGAGGCCAGCCACAGCACAGCTGTCAGTGAATGAGATTTGTTCATGCTTCTCATGCCTGGGAAGAAAATTTACTAATTTATCGCTGAGAACTTGGGACATTACTGGTTTTGTGAAGCGTGCTTGTAATGACATATGTTCGTGATGGAGTGTCTGGTGGTGCTGGCGCGTGCTGCGTAGTCTGATGTGGCTTTGCAAATTCAAACTCAGTGTCTCTCAGGTGTGTTGATTCATTTGTCTTGGCCTTCTCTCTGCAGTCCACTGTGATGGTGCTTCGCAACATGGTGGATCCAAAGGACATTGACGACGACCTAGAGGGAGAAGTGACAGAAGAATGTGGCAAATTTGGGGCTGTCAACAGGGTCATCATCTACCAGGAGAAGCAAGGAGAAGAGGAGGATGCTGAGATCATTGTCAAGATCTTTGTGGAGTTCTCCATGGCGTCAGAGACTCACAAAGCCATTCAGGCTCTGAATGGGCGCTGGTTTGCAGGAAGAAAGGTGGTAGCAGAGGTGTACGACCAGGAGAGATTTGACAACAGTGACCTGTCAGCATGAACTCTACTTGAAAGACTTTGCCCCTGCCCCCTCTGCCTGTCTGGTTTTTTTTTAGCCATGTGTAAAGAACGCTCCAGGGTGGGCACAGATCTCTGTGATGTACTTTTAGTTTGGATAAAAGCGCAAAGAAAGCCGGTGTGCATCTGTGTGTGTGTGTTAAAGGGGCTGACATCTCGTCAGGTGGGTCTGGCCTCCTCCGCCTGGAGAGCGGAGCCAGAGCCTGAAGAGGGGCTGCTGCTTGCGCTGCTGCCTTACGCTGTGGTCACTTCAGAAGCACTCAGGTCAAGATCCCCCTGTACCTTTTAGGGGTGGAACAGCAGTTTTCTTCAGAGACGGGCCATAAATGGTTGGAAGGGAGGAGGGAGTTTCCTCACTGAGTATTTCAGCAGCACCCAGGAGTGCTGCTGTGTTAACAACGAGGGTAGCTTGGGTGGTGCTGGGAGGGAGCCTTCCTACTGACGACCTGCGTTTTGAGCTTGGACTCAGCCCAGACATGGGTGAGAGCTGAGAACTGAACCAGGCGGGCATTCTTGGAGTGTTCACATCATGTTTGTTCCAATACCATAGTTTGGACCTCACAGCTTTTTTGGTGGGTGAGTGACCCTTACTGATCCTTCCTTAATGTGCCCAAATGAGTAGCAAGTTCGGCTGCAGGCGTCACAGCCGGGTGGAGAGTGAGAGAGTAGTCTTCATCTGCAGCACCTGAAGTGCGTTTGGGAAGTAAACATTTAGCCCTTGTACTGTGGACAGTGATACGGAACACCTGCCTTGCCTGAAAGGAGAGTTTGGGTTGGGTTTGGTTTGGTTTTTTTGTGGGGTTTTTTGAGGACTCAAGGCTTTAGTAATATTTACAAATCTTAAATGCATTTATTTTAGTAATCTTTTTGTCTAGCTAATGAGTAGGAACAGAATTAGCACGTGTTAATTATTTTAAATATTTTAAGTATGTGAGGGGCTGCCATATTGCTTCTTATGCATAACTGGTACACAGCACAGATCTGAAGAAAATAACTATTTTAGTTTAGAAATTCAAATAAAGGAAGAATGATCTCAAAGGAACTTCGGTAGGGAATTCCGAGTTGAGCCTGCAGCTGTGTGTTGCTTTTGAGCTTGGAGATGCTTTTAAAATTAAATTTTTGTATTTTTTTCAAAGACTCAGAAGAACCCTTCTTCTGTCGTAGGTCAGAAATTTGTATTTGCAGGTTAACTTTATTTGTAATTAAACTATGTTTACTTCTTTTTGAACTAATACTGCCTGTCAATGTAAATAACCCTTTCTTCTCTGTTACAGCCATTCCAAGTTAATAGCAAGCCTGTCGCTTTCAGCGTGTGTTTTGATAGCCAGAGTCTCTTGGGACCAGCTTGGTCTTTCCCTGGTCGTCTGCCCTCGCCGCCCTTCTTTGCATCTGTTTCCTTTAATTTCCTTTTGTTGAAAGTAGGTGATGAGATCTGCTGAATGCACTGTATAGTGGCCTTGGTCCTTTCTCTTCTGTGCCACCTGCGATCCCGTTGACCTCTCAGCCGCAGCATACTGGCAGCTCACCATTGCCCCCGTTTCGCAATGCAGCGTGGCTTCTTTGCTGCTTTTGCTTGTGATATAGGGGAAAATTCACTATTTTTAATTGTTCCAGAGTTTTACTATTCCTGCTAGAGAAGATCAAAACACCTCTGCCATGTCTTAGTTGGTCTGTCTAGCTTCCGTTTTCTGCCATTTGCTTCTGTTCTCTTGGCTGAATTTAAGAGTACAAGACTGCCCTAGAAAGTTCCTTGGGGGTGTTGGTGCTTTAAAAAACCAAATCGGATAAAAGTCGATGCAAGGGGAGAGCACAGATCAAAGAATGACAGCCTAAGTGTTAATCAACAAGTTTTTGTGCACGATAAGTCTTTCATGGCTGACAAGATGAGATTTTACAAAAGTAACTTTATAAATGTCTTGACAAGTCCAACGTCTGACAAAAGATCATCTGTCTTGACTTTTGTGTGGCCTGTGACACGGTCCTCCCCAACATCCTGGTTAACTAAATTGGAGAGATACGGGTTTGGTGGATGAACTGTTAGATGGATGAGGAATTGGCTGGATGGCCACATGCAAAGAGTTGCAGCCAACAGCTCCATGTCACAATGGAGATCAGTAATGAGTGGTGACCCTCAGGGGACCATACTGGGACTGATACTGTACAATATTTTTGTTAATAAGGTAGACGGTGGAATTGAGTGCACCCTCGGCAAGTTTGTGGATCACACCAAACAGAGTGGTGTGGTGGATACACTAAAGGGACGGGAGGCCACCCAGAGGGACCTTGGCAGGCTTGGGGACCTTGACAGGCTTGGGGACCTTGACAGGCTGGAAGAGTGGGCTGTGAAGCTCATACAGTTCACTGAGGCCAAGTGCAAGGTCTAGTAGATGGGTTGGTTAACCCCCAGTCAGTGTCAATACAGGCTGGGTGGAGAATGGATTGAGAGCAGCTCTGAGGAGAAGGACTTGGGGGTGCTGGGTACTGGTCAGGCGTTGGAATCGGCTGCTCAGGGAAGTGGTGCAGTCCCCATCCCTGGAGGTGTTCAGAAAAAGTGTAGATGTGGCACTTTGGGACATGGTTTAGCAGGCGTGGGGGTGTTGGACTTGATGGTCTTAGAGGTCTTTTCCAACCTTAATGATTCTAGGATTGATGAAAAGCTGGACATGACCCGGCCGTGTGCGCTGACAGCCCCGAAGGCCAACTGC